TTTTTCTTCATGGTAAGGCCTTACTGACACCTGCGCCTGTGGCGCATGCGCAATCCAGCTGCTCTAGATGGCTGTGATGGCATCCGTATCAAGGATCGCCGCATCAAGGTCGATGTAGAGAGAGGCCGCACGGTCAAGGGATGGAAGCCTCGTCGTCTCGGTGGCGGTCTTGGTGGCCGTGGTTACACCAAGGCGATGCCCGCAAGGCCTATGGGTCCTGGTGGATTTGGCGGCCCCGGTGGCTTCCGCGGCGGTGGTTTCGGTGGTGGATTCAGAGGACGCGACCGCGGCTTCAGGGGTGGTGGCGGCCCCGGCGGCCCTGGCGGCGGCTTTGGAGGTGGTGATCGCTTCGGTGGACGCAGCGGTGGCAGCGGTTTCGGCGGCGGACGTGACGGCGGTCGTGGCTTCGGCGCCCCAGCTGGTGGCAGCAGCTTCTCCCCTCCGTCGGGTGCTCCCAGTGGCCCCGGTGGTGGCTTTGGTGGCCGTGACCGTGACAGTCACCGTGGAGGTGACAGGGACCGTGATCGCGACAGCCGCAGGGACGGTCCTAGCGGAAGCAGCGGTGGGTACGGTGGTGGGCGTGATGGCGGTCGCTCATATGATGACAGATCTGGTGGCGGAGGTTTCCGCGGCGGCGAACGCAACGCTCGGCAGACTGGCAGCAACATGGAGCCCATCCGGCCCAGAGAACCCGGAGCCCCAAGGGAATCCAGAGACGGTGGGTATCACGGTGGCGGCGGCCGCGACTACGACAGGCCCAGAGAACACGACGACTCGTCCAGGAAACGCGGGTACGACGGCGGATACGAAGACCCCAGGAAGTTGCGTCGCTATTAGACATGATGCTGGTCGCCGAACAACATTGACAGACCTTGTAATCGACAACAACATACTGGTCCGGTTTGTCTCGTGGTGGGTATCGTCAGCCCCTCTCACTACTCCCAAGTTTCTACTCAGTATTCTTCCCTTTTCCTTCGACGATAAGGGTAAGCCACGACGTTTCACTTCTCACGTGTCATACTTGACTATGGCCGTGTCTTGTCAACTATCCACGACCAGGATAGTGGGGAGGTATCGATATTTCAGACACTTTGTCGTCCAAAAGCGGATGTGATTATCTTTCCGGTGGCTAAGGTAATCGCGTCATAACGATCCAAGCAAGGGTAATGGTTTACATGGTCGGCAATCCAAGTTCAAATGGTATCCTCCAACCGTTCGTCCCTTTCGGTTTGTCTGGCACCTCAGTCCAAAACAAGACAACTCGAGGTCTAGAAAACCAGGTGGCACTGGTGAGAAAGTTCAGTTCGTCAACATTTGCACGGTGGTGGTGGCGCCGTCGCATACAAACTTCGAAACCCAGGACATAGTACGCTCAAAAAAGCGTCCCGCCATTTGTCTTATCAGGAGCAACAAGACAATAAGACATCACTCAGCATATCTGTCGCAGGAAGGTAAAAATTGAGGTAAAAAAAGACCGTTAAAGGCCAATTGCTTTCCGCGCCTTCCTCGATCTTGTGTCGTCTTGCCTTCTTTTTCTTTCTTTTTCTTTCGTCTCACTTGTATCATACCAAGTTTTTGTTTAACCCGTGTACTGCTGAATCATTCGAAAACAAAGAGGAGCAAAAAAGTACGGGTGGGTAGGTAGGAAAGAACAAAATGATTTTATTCTTAGCGTAAAGGTATGAAAGTTGATAAACGTCGTAAGCGTTGTAGCGTTGAAGCTGTAGCGGGGTGTCGTGTTGGTTCCTCAAGTACCACATAACGTTTTGAGGACTGGGGGCACTTGCGGGTTGTAGAGCGAGAGGCATGATTGAGGTCGCTCTGGCAACACCTAGGAGCACAATCAAGAAGGGCGTTGTGTTCTTATCATGCTCCAGAGTTGGAGATGATGGGAACATCGGCATCGTGTTGTTTGTAGAGTTCGGGCTGTGGATACTTTTCTTCACGGACAACCCGAACCCTGTGGGCGTGGGTAGCCTCGATACCTTTCACTTTTTCTACTCTTTTGACTTTTGTAAACTCAAGTCAAAAACAGCTGTAATGCAATACTTGCAATCATTGCCTGAGTGAGCCATCTCACCAAGCTGTGAATAGCAAGAGCAAGCACAGAGATGACGCAAACCCGAACCCGGCCCAAAATGAAGCCCTCACCATCCCCTGATCTCCACCACACAAGTGGAAAACACCAGACCAGACCAGACCAGACCAGGGTCACTGTTCGAGCCTACTAACAACCACAAAACTTCTTTTCACACCGGCAAAAAGATTTGAACAACACAAATTTCAGCCCAATGCAATCTAGGATGGAAGCACGGCGACATGAAGAAGAAAAAAAAAGGAAAAAGGCAAAAATCCAAAAAGAAGAGGAAGTTGTTTGATTTGATCGTTATCACTCGGATACCGGGAGTCGAACCCGGGGCTGTTGAGAAGGCAGACACTTTCTGTGAGAAAGTGAGAGTCAACGATGTTACCGCTACACCATACCCGATTTTGGAATATGGTTTCCGTACTTCCTTGTTGTGGGAAGGCATTGGGAGTAGAGGTTATATACAATATTTGTCCGAGCTTCGCATAGATGAGGCTTGAGTACTTTCTGGTTTTTTTTTCTTTCCTGTGTAGTCTTCAAAGGCGACAGATAGTCTGCGAAGTATGCCGGAAATTTCACAGCACGGGCCTGGATGGTGAACAATATGATGTCTTCAACGATCGTATTCTCTTATCGCTAGTATGTTCTTTCCAAGTTATTGTGATCTTGACAACCATCCGTCTCGTCTCTTTCGAATTTTTTTTTCACATAGATACATACCTCCCATAATCTTAAGAGACGATGAAGAATTTCACTACTTCAACATGCTCGTAGCGCAGCGAATGTGCACAGAAAGATGTCTTTATAGCCTTTTTATTCGTGAGCTTTTGCTCCCCCTATCTCTCAAGACGCCTGGTAATACATAAATATGACCGATTTTATGTTCCCAGAAGAAGTGCCATACAAAGATGGTATCATCGTAAACCTTTCCCTATTGTAAAAACACGGAAAATGACGAGCAAAGTAGTAGTAAAAACCGAGAAAAATGACGTTGCAAAAATGACACCTTCTTGTTCCCCTCATGCCTTCTGCCCACAGCAGGAGTTTTTCGCTCGTAGCAGTCGCGTGTGTTGCGTTGTTGTTGCTGCGGAATTCCTTCTCGCACAGGTACATTTTAATATCATGACCCAATCCAACTGCCTTCAACACACACACACCGACCATTCCTTCACGTCCCCTCTTTTGTTGGGTATCGTTCAAGACAGCACATATAACTGACATCCCCCTTTACTCATCATCCTCCTCCATCTCCTCGGCACCACCAGCGGGCGCCGCGGCAGGTTTCTCCAACTCGGTAACCTCCCCGCTGCTCGCGCTCCAGTACGCCAACAACTTGACGCGGAACTCGCTCAAACAGATGCTGAACAGCTTGAGCAGCCTCGTCTGCCTCGAGTCGAGCGTCTCGCCCTCCTTGCAGATAACGTAATCGTCGCCCTCGCCGGCCTCGTCACCAAGGCAGACCTTGCCCTTGACCATGCGGGTGGGCATGCCGAGGCGGCGGAGCTCGGGCTCGAGGGTGTGGGAGACGGGCACGTCATGCTCGGCGGGGACCTCGCCACCGGTGCTGAAGAGGGGACCCGAGGGGATGGTGATGGTGCGCGTGGCGACGGAGCCGGCGCGGGCGAAATCGACTTGTGTCAGGTTGACGAAGTAGTCCTTGATCTCTTGGGGGTCGCGGTTGGTGAAGATCAGGCCGACGGAGCCGGCGAGGTACTTGGAGAGCTTGTCGAGCCCGTCGGCTTGGGCGTCCTCGGGGGTGGTGCCGAGGGCGCGGGCGGTGAGCTTGGTCTTGCCGAAGAAGATGCTGTTTTAAGTAGTCAAAAGGATTAGTTATTTGCGACTTGGATTTGTGTTGGAGAAGGGAAAAGCAAGATAGACAAGAAGACAACATACCGGCAGTCGTTCAGCTCCTTTCTGACATCCTTCAGGTAGTTGTTGCGCATGTTATCGATGCTGAAGACGAAGCAGTGCTGGTAGTTGGGGATGGATTCCCTGATGTTCTCGAAGAGCTTCTCCTTCTGCTCGCGGTTCTTCTTGGTGACCTGGGTGAGGTTGAACACCTTCGCGCGCTTGGACTTGGGCATCTTGACGGTATATGTGTGGTGGTGTGGTGGTGTTGTTGTTGTTGTTGTTGTTGATGTTGTGGGTTGTTGATGTAAAGATTAAACAGACGGTGACACAGATAACAATGCCTGGGGTATAGAGACAAAAGGTTGGAAGAAAAGTGGCTGGTGGTGGTGTAGATGTTTTGGTTATGTCAACTACCCAAAGATGGAATCAAGAGCGGAAATGGAATCAAAAGTCAATTGGAGATACGCAGGCGGATTCAGACAGAGCCAGTGTGCAGGTCTTTCTGCCGTGCCGGCGGTCGCTGTCCGTGGCAGTCCCTATCGCTGACTTTTGTTTTTTTCTGCCGTGAGAAACTTTTGGCGGTAAGCGACTGATAGGCTCTCCCCCACAATTGATTCGGCAGGGGTCCACCAGAATGGATTGCGGCCAGTCTGCCCCACCTTGAACTTGGAGTGAGCATCCCTGTCGCTGTGTTTCCCCTGATTTGCCAAAGCTCTGGATCTTCCAATTTCCTCTTCCATTCCTTCCTCCTGACAAGTTGAAATGGGTCCCGTCGTCATGATCAATACCAAAGACCTGCACATCCTCTCTTCATCAGTGCTTCGATATAGACACAGCGGAGAGCATCGGGTATGTACATTGCTCTCCTCAGCCGAGCACAACGATACATCTACAACAATCTACGACAGGCACAATCACCGCTCACTGTCACCGCACTGTCGTCAAGGCGAATAGTCCGTTTTCCCATGCCCTTTGCTTTACACTCGACATGAACACGAGAGCTCCTTGACGGTATCAACCTGTGGATTACCATACCGGATTGAGGTTTTGAAACAGTTCCAGTGAATCTAGTTCACCTGATCACGGCAAAACGAACTGTGTAAACCGCACGGGTTACTAGTCTTCGCGATGCGCTTACTTTTATAAGTTCCGCAACTGGTTGCTCTCCCCTATTCAATTAACCGGGACTCCACGACGTCCAGGAAAATGCAGAGAATCCTGGGGTAAGCGGCAGTGATGTTCTGTCCCGCAGCTTCTCGAGGTTTTATGACGGCCAGGACGTTGAGGACACGACATCTCATGATTGCGATAAAACGACACGCACTTGGGACAGTGTACGGCTATCAACACAAAAGACGAAGATGAGGCTCTCCTTTGATGCTAAGCGACACTGCCAAGGACGCCTGCAATGATTCCGTGAGAAGATGATGTGCTTTCGGAAACAGAACCGGCCGTCCACTGGAATCATGATCGTCGTGGTGTGATGTCAGGCCAAGTGTAGGGCTTAGTGCAAATCCGGGGAAACAAAAACAGCAGACCGAAAGCCCGGTACGTAGTCCCGTCGCTGGCACGCAGCTAATAAACGGTCTCTTTGTTTGGGCTCATATCTCCAGAGTCCAGATACGGGGATAAACAAACTCGGAAGTCGGAAGTCGGAAGTCGGAAGTCGGAACGCCAATCGGTCGTCCGTGCTCGGATTTAAATCCAAGAAAGTTTGGTTCGAAAAAGCTGCGAAAGAACTTCCCCAATGTTGACGGCGAGAGGGTCCTTTTTGTTGACAGGCGGGTTGCACGCCGTGTGGCCGTGAGCCCGTCCACGCGGCACCCGCACGACTGGGTCACTCACCCGCAATTTGCCTGTTCCGCCAACCCTCCTCCAGTTCGGCTGCCGGTTCCTGTGCTGCGTGACTCATACGCCAAGAGAGTATGGGAACCTTGACGGAAGATGTAAGACGGGGAAAACCCATGAGTTTGTTTTTGTTCGCAACACCGAAAGGTCGTACAACGCCGGTGAGGCTCAGATTAGAGTTCAAGTTGAACAAAGATGCAGGGCGCAGAACCCTGTTGTTGAGGAGCTATACCCACCCAAGGTTCTTTGCTGGGCATCCAGGCATCGAAAGACATCGGCCAGCTAATGGGCCCGAGCACCGACATCCTAGCTTCAGGATTCCAGTATCGTATCGCCTATGGTCGCCTGTCTCGGTTGAATTAGCGATTGGGAGCCATTGGTAGCAGGTTACATGCGGTGAGTTGGATGCCCGAGTCCGAACAGTCATACGGAACCAGGCGAGAAGGTTTCGGCGATATGCTCCGAATGTTGTTGATCCGCAATTGCACTCCAGGTGAGATGACATTTGCATTGGCTGTGCTGTACTTTTCATTTCGGATCATAAGGTACAGAAGAGGCTCAGAGAGGCAATGCCATGCATCCATTTCAGATTGACAGCTGCGCACCGGATGAAGTGCAAAGAAACGCACTGCGGGATGAACAACAACTTGCAGCATCCGACCCCCTGAACAACCTCAACGCTAAATTAGATGAAGGCATGTGGGGGGAAGGGATCCAGGGACCAGCTACACCCGGTCCACCCCAGGGGAAAATGGAGATATCGTACAGCGCCCACGACTATTTATTATCTCTGGGGATAGTTAGGCCCTATTCAGTGGGTCAAAGACCAGAAGCCCCAGACACCGCCGGCACAGTATTTCCCATGTTGAAAACTTTCAATGAAAGGAGAAGGACAACAGAAGAAGAGTACAGAACGGTACTGACCGTCGGTCATCCTCGGGGATTGGAAAAGGTGTTCGGACGAGATCCGAGCCGAAACTGATTACAGTAGGTACGCAGATACACAGCCAACTGGAAGCTCTAGAATTATGACACGGCCTGACGGCCGACCTCGAACCGACATCAACCAAATACTACAGTGGTCCCACGCTTTTGATGGAAAGGGAGCCGATATGGCCCGTACAGAGAGAGTGATGATTGGTGCAACGGAGATAGAGGGATCGGTCAGTCGGGATCTTGACAGGCCTATCGCCGGTTTCCCAGTGTACCTATCGCCATCCCACGATGCTGTGGATGATGGTACCTAGGTATGAACGGTACCGTTCGTATCTCGGAGCACGTACTGTCCTGATTGTGGGGAGGACTGTTGGTCGGGGAGGGCTGGGGGCACTTTCCTGATTCGGCCTGGCCGACCGCCGTATTTTAATTCCTTTGTCGCCAACAGCCAAGACACTAAAAGAAGTGGTAATTACCTGCTTCATCCCATCTTCCTTCCTCGTCTCGTCTTCTCTCTCTCTCTTCCATTCAATACTTTATCCAGACATCGAGGATCTCCATTCTTGGCTTCTGTCTGTCCTTCACTTCAACCACCACAACCTAATTAATATCAACCTCCCCCTCCCCCATCGCGCCTCGTGGTTCCCCACCCCCACTTCAGCGCACATCCTTCTTTTTTTTCCCACCTCGACCAAAGTACGTACCGGTACATCACCATCAAGCGAAAGCTAGCCGAGTCGATCGCTACACCAAGAGAGACGAGGCTCGAATGTCATAAATTGATCACCATTTACCAGCTCTTTCGTCAAAACCAACCTCGCTTGATTCGATCACTGCAGTTGTTTCCCCGCAAGACCCCGTCAACATGGCGGCGGGTAGCCTTTCCGAAAAGGATGGAGAACCTTCGGCCCTCCCCGTCTCTAGTCATGGCGGCTCCACCGAAGGGGATACCACCATCGCCCATCACGATATAAACAACAAACCCGAACCCAACACTCTCGAAAAGGCCGACACCCAGGTCGTCCCAGCAAAGAAGTCGCTCGACGATGACCCCTACAAACACCTCCCCGACAGGGAAGCCAAGATCCTTAAGGAGCAGGTCCTCACTCCCGACGTCAAGGTCGGCGTCGCAACCCTCTACCGCTATGCCACCCGCAACGATCTGATCATTATCGTCGTCTCCGCCATCTGCGCCATCGCTGCCGGTGCTGCTCTTCCGCTCATGACCGTCATCTTCGGTAACCTTCAGGGCACTTTCCAGGACTACTTCGGAGGAGTCACAAGCTATGATGACTTTACGGGCGAGTTGGCTCGCTTGGTTCTTTACTTTGTCTACCTGGCCATTGGCGAGTTTGTCACCATGTACATCGCCACCGTCGGTTTCATCTACTCTGGAGAGCACATTAGCGGAAAGATTCGTGAGCACTACCTGGAGAGCTGCATGAAGCAGAACATTGGCTTCTTCGATAAGCTTGGCGCCGGTGAGGTCACCACTCGCATCACTGCCGACACCAACCTGATCCAGGAAGGCATTTCGGAAAAGGTCAGCTTGACGCTCCAGTCTCTTGCTACCTTCTTCGCCGCCTTTGTTATCGGTTTCGTCAGCTTCTGGAAGCTTACCCTTATCCTCTTGAGTACCGTTGTCGCCTTGACCCTTGTTATGGGCGGTGGCTCTCGGTTTATCATCAAGTTCTCCAAGGATAACATCGCTGCTTATGCCGAAGGTGGTTCCGTCGCCGATGAAGTGATCAGCAGTGTCCGTAATGCTATTGCTTTTGGCACTCAGGACCGCCTGGCTCGTCAGTACGATGTCCATCTCACTCGCGCCGAGTACTTCGGCTTCAGGCTCAAGGGCTCCCTTGGTGTCATGGTCGCCGGCATGATGACTGTCCTGTATCTGAACTATGGCTTGGCCTTCTGGCAGGGTTCCCGCTTCCTCCTCGGCGGCGAGACTGAGCTCCGCAAGATCCTGATTGTCATGATGAGTGTGATGATCGGAGCTTTCAACCTCGGTAACATTGCACCCAACTTGCAGGCTTTCGCTACCGCTCTCGGTGCTGCTGCTAAGATCTACAACACTATCGACCGTCAGTCTCCCATTGACTCCTCCAGCGACGAGGGCGGCAAGCTCGAGACCGTCTCCGGTACCATTCGTCTGGAGAACATCAAGCACATCTACCCCTCCCGTCCTGAGGTCACTGTCATGGAGGATGTCAGTCTCGTTATCCCTGCTGGCAAGGTCACTGCCTTGGTAGGAGCGTCCGGATCAGGCAAGTCCACCATTGTTGGTTTGGTAGAAAGGTTCTATACCCCCATTGAAGGAAAGGTCTATCTCGATGACGTTGATATTTCAACCCTCAATGTCCGCTGGTTGCGTCAACAGATCGCCCTTGTATCCCAGGAACCGACCCTCTTCGCTTGCACCATCTACGACAATATTCGCCATGGCTTGATCGGTACCAAGTGGGAGTCTGAGCCCGAGGAGCAACAGCGCGAGCGTATTTATGATGCTGCCCGCAAGGCCAACGCACACGACTTTATTGCCAGTCTTCCCGAGGGTTACGAGACCAACGTTGGTGAGCGTGGCTTCTTGCTCAGTGGTGGCCAGAAACAGCGTATCGCTATTGCCCGTGCTATCGTTTCCGACCCCAAGATTCTCTTGCTCGACGAGGCCACCTCTGCTCTCGACACCAAGAGTGAAGGCGTTGTCCAGGCCGCTCTCGAAGTTGCCGCCGAAGGCCGTACCACTATCACGATTGCCCACCGTCTGTCTACCATCAGGGATGCCCACAATATCGTTGTCATGGCCCAGGGACGCATTGTTGAACAGGGCACCCACGATGAATTGCTTGAGAAGCGCGGGGCTTACTACAAGCTTGTCACCGCCCAGGCTATTGCGGCTGTCAACGAGATGACCGCTGAAGAAGAGGCGGCGCTCGATCAGGAAGAGGAAGCGGCTCTTATCCGCAAGGCGACTAGAAACAGTCAAAAGGACAGACCTGCCGGCTATGTGGAGGACCCTGAGGATAACATCGCTCAAAAGTTGGATCGCAGCAAGTCCCAACAGAGTGTCAGCTCCGTTGCCATTGCCGCACGCAAGAAGGAAGAGAAGAAGGAGTACGGCCTGTGGACACTCATCAAGCTTATTGCTAGTTTCAATAAGAAGGAGTGGCACATGATGCTCATCGGTATCTTCTTCTCGGCTATCTGCGGTGCCGGTAACCCTACTCAGGCTGTCTTCTTTGCCAAGCTCATCAGCTCTCTGTAAGTTGTTGTCCCCCAAACTGTTTTGTTTACCAGAGTCACTAACCGATTATAGCTCTCGCCCCCTTGTCAACGACGAAATCAGAGACTCCATCAAGTCCGATGCTTCCTTCTGGTGCCTGATGTACCTCATGCTTGCTCTTGTGCAGTGCATTGCCTTCTCTATTCAGGGCTGGCTCTTTGCCAAGTGCAGCGAGCGGTTGATTCACAGAGTTCGTGATATGGCCTTCCGCTCTTTCCTTCGCCAGGATGTCGAGTTCTTCGATCGCGATGAGAACTCCGCTGGTGCGCTCACCTCATTCTTGAGCACCGAGACCACCCACGTTGCCGGTCTTTCTGGTGTCACCCTCGGTACACTGATCATGGTATTGACTACCCTCATTGCCGCTTGCACTGTCGCCTTGGCTCTGGGCTGGAAGCTTGCTCTTGTGTGCATTGCTACCATTCCTGTTCTTATCGGCTGCGGCTTCTTCCGCTTCTGGATGATTGCTCACTACCAGCGCCGCGCGAAGAGCGCCTATGCGGGATCTGCCAGCTATGCCTCCGAGGCCATCACCGCCATGCGCACTGTCGCTTCCTTGACTCGTGAGCAAGACGTTCTCCAGCACTACAAGGACTCTCTGGCCAAGCAACAGCACGCCAGCTTGATCTCGGTTCTCAAGTCCAGTCTGCTCTTTGCTGCTTCCAACTCGCTCATGTTCCTTGCTTTCGCCTTGGGTTTCTGGTACGGTGGTACCTTGATTGCCAAGTACGAGTACGACATGTTCACCTTCTTCATCGTATTCTCGTCCGTAATCTTCGGTGCCCAGTCTGCCGGTTCCGTCTTCAGCTTCGCCCCCGATATGGGCAAGGCCACCGAGGCCGCTCGTGATCTCAAGGAGCTCTTTGACCGCAAGCCTGTTGTCGATACCTGGTCTAACGAAGGTGACTCCGTCAAGCAGGTTGATGGCACCATCGAGTTCCGCGATGTTCACTTCCGCTACCCTACTCGCCCTGAGCAGCCCGTCCTCCGTGGTCTCAACCTGTCCATCCAGCCTGGTCAATACGTCGCATTGGTGGGTGCTAGTGGTTGTGGCAAGAGTACCACTATTGCCCTCTTGGAACGTTTCTACGACCCTCTCAGCGGCGGCATCTTTGTCGACGGCCGGGAGATCAGCAGCCTCAACGTCAACGAATATCGCAGCTTCATCGCCCTCGTCTCACAAGAACCTACTCTGTACCAGGGTACCGTCCGCGAGAACATCGTCCTCGGAGCAAACAGCGACGTCACCGACGAGCAGATCAAGTTCGCCTGCCAGGAAGCCAACATCTACGACTTCATCATGTCTCTCCCCGACGGCATGAACACAGTGGTCGGTTCCAAGGGTGCCTTGTTGTCTGGTGGACAGAAGCAGCGTATTGCTATTGCCCGCGCGTTGATTCGTGATCCCAAGATTCTGTTGCTCGATGAGGCGACTTCCGCTCTGGATTCCGAGTCTGAGCACGTTGTGCAGGCGGCGTTGGATAAGGCTGCTAAGGGCAGGACTACCATTGCTGTTGCGCATCGTCTCAGCACCATTCAGAAGGCGGATATCATCTATGTGTTTGACCAAGGACGCATTGTCGAGCAGGGAACGCATTCGGAGTTGATGAAGAAGAATGGCAGGTATGCCGAGTTGGTTAACCTGCAGAGTCTGGAGAAGCATTAAGCGAAGCGGACCAGGAGCGCGAAAAAGTTGAAAAGTTTTATGGCATTTGGCATGGCGTTATCTTAGAAAAAAGGTCTGATCTTGCAACTTTGCAGTTGTCGAAGGTCTTGGAATTTCTGATGGGACAAGTTAATAGGGAGAAAGAATGAGGCTACTTAGTTACTTGGGAGATTTTCAGAGCTGGTGGATGATATAATCTTTCAGCGATGGGAGGAACGAACGACTACTTGGCGGATTTTTTGCACATGTTTTAGATGATACCACTGTATGTACTGTACGTATTATTAATGGCTAGTATGGTTGATGGATGAGGGGGAGGGATGTTTCTAAATGGAATACCTTTGACACTACTCACAAGATACAAGAATCTTTTGATGTTACAATGCTCTTTGTTGAGGGTCGAAATGCGAATGCCTTCACAAACCCAACTTCACATGCACTATCAATTTGCAGTATCTTTACCACGGAGAACTGTTAAGCACTCGTGATTGCCACCACGCGGCGGGGTCCAGATCCCCCAGACCTGGGCTGTCACTTTAGCGCTGTGGGACCCGCCAAGTAGCCGCCATTACCGCCGCTTTAGGCTGGGCTCTAGGCTCCCTCTCGTCTTTTCTCCACTCGCTGTCACTGAGAGGAGGGGCCGCGAGGGGCCGCGGGGAGGTAACGTCATGGGATCTCTTTCATCTTGTGGTTCTCATCCCGCTTTCGCCTTTTGTTTGGTTGATTTTTGTTTTTTTGCCGTTGTGAGTTCTAGATCCCGTCTACTTGGTAGCCAGCGTTTCAAAAATAAGAGGGATCAGGCTTTAAAAAGACCGAGGTGGACAACTGTCCTTTTCTTGTTGTTTTATTCTCTTGTCGATTGTAGTGTATCTGCACTCGAGCAAAATCATATGTAAGTGTAACTGAGAGGGGACGCACGACAGACCGAAAGACCCCTGTTTCTGTTTGGCTCGCATCGCATCACGGGCACTTCTTAGTTCTTGCAGGTGTTGGTTGACTGGACGATATTTCTCCCCTTTTACACCTTCAGCTTCTCACATTTCCTACTTACACCTGACATCTCTTCTCTACCTGTCGGGTCTCTACCTAAACACAACCTCAACCCCGGCTGGACTGGACTCATTGGACTGGACTGAGGCGGCTGGGCATCAACGGTATTATTCGCCAAACATATCCAAACATAACCAGACATCGTCGTCGTCTGTATCTATCGACGAAGCTCAATTCAACTCGACCCCATCGACTTTGACGCATTCCTAGTCGCTTCATTTCAGCTCCGCTTAGGTCGCTGCGTCGCTGTGTCGCACTCCTGTATATACCTACTAGTACCACCACGACGACTCCGCTCGACGTTTAAGCAGCGAGGCAGCCACTCGCGCGCCCAAACGAACCTCAACGAATCCGAAACTCGACGATCAACTGCGTCGACAACATCAGCAATATCTGTCATACACTCACCAGTGTACCCACGAGCGCATCCACGAACACACCTTAACCAAGAGGTCGACTGAACTAAACCGAACTATATCAAAGGAAAAACATCATCACGAACTAACGATGCGCCTCCTCGACCCATCATCGCTACCATCGCTGGGAGCAGCTTCGCTCCTCCTCTTGCTGTCGTCCTCGATACCCGGCAACAACGGTCCTAATGGTGCAGAAGCGGCAAATTCGGGAAAAGCTAAGGATGCCGTTTTGTTGTCTAATGTATGTCTTGTTTTTTTGTTTCCTTCTCTTACTGTTCCATCTGTTATAATCATCACTAAGCACCACCATCAACCCCCCCCCCCCCCCCCCCCCCCCCCTCTTCCTTCCTCTCTCCTACTCCCTCCATCACCACCACCTTCCAATTTTCTCCGCCCACCTTCCAATCATCATCCCGCCGCTCCCCCGTTACCCCGTTACCCCGTTACCCCGTCACCCCTCTTCCCTTCCCTTCCCTTACCTTCCCTTCCCTTACCTTCCCTTCCCTCCACTCCAACTCCCTCTCTTTTCGCTTTTATCCCCGAACAATAACTAATAAGTATCAACCAGATCCGATCCCTAACCCTCACCCCTCACTCCCAAACGACCTCCCGCCGCCTGCCCCCCATTCCCCAACTACAATGCCTCCCCTCCCCCTCCTCCCCGCTCTGCCGCCTCGCAGAGCCTCACATATCCGTAATGCGCTGTACGAACCAAGGTTCGCGCTACGGAAAAGAAGACATCCAATGGTCCTGCACCGTCCCCTCCCTTCCCACCACCCTTCAACTAGGTTCAACGGATGTCGTCTGCGAAGGCTACGATGGACCGGATGATGAGTACGTGTTGAAGGGGAGTTGTGGGGTTGAGTACCGCTTGACGCTGACGGAGGAGGGACGGAGGAAATATGGGGATGGGTTTGGGAATGGAGATGGTGGTTATGGAAATGGGGGAGAAAGTCCGGGGTTGGCGGGGTATTTATTTGGGGTATTATTTGTGGGTGTGTTGGGATGGATTGTTTATAGTGCTTGTGTGCAAGCTGGGCAGAATAGGAGGGTGGGTGCAAATGGTGCGGATGGCCAGCGAAGAGGCTGGGGTGGTGGTGGTGGAGGGCCGGGATTTGGTGGAGGACCAGGAGGAGGACCGGGTGGAGGGGATTGGGATGGGGATGAGCCGCCGCCGCCGTATCCTGGATACGGCAACAAGCCGAGTGGACGTCAACAACCAGTTCCCGGACAGCAACAACAAGGATGGAGACCGGGGTTTTGGTCGGGAATAGCGGGTGGTGCGGCGGCTGGGTATTTAGCTGGACAGAGGGGTGGACAGAGAGGCAGGAGGGAGGATAACAATAGGGGTTATAACTACGGAAGCACATGGGGTGGTGGTTCGTCGTCGGGATCGAGGAACAGGAGTTGGGGGTCGAGCTCTGGCGACAATGGCGGCAGTTCCGGGACGACACATGAAAGCACCGGGTTTGGATCGACGAGTCGGCGGTAAATATCCTGTACAGGCTTGCTTCAATGGACGATGACCGAACGTATATATATACATACAAAGGCGAAGAGGGTATCGACATGAATGTTTGCGCGAGCGTATAATGATTCTTTTGGAAATTTATACAAAGGCTTGCTCTGAAAACAACCCGAACAGTGGTTTCAAATGGCTTTCCTCCTCCCGTCTCCCGTCCCGTTTCCGTTTCCGTTTCCGTTTCCGTTTCCGTTCCCGTTCGGTATCTCACACAACACACATTGACACGCTATCCCCGTTATGAACCAGCCATACTCCCCATCCATAGTGGTTGTTGTACATCAAAAAGCAATTCGATTCGATGCTGATCGCTACCCACCACCCTCCGAGCCTCCCAAGACGCCGATATAACCATTTATTGGATGAACTTTCTTTCTTCCTTCTATTCCAGTACCTAACATGACATATCCTTCCATAGATGATTCAGAGATAACTCCGATCCCTGGCCAAGGTTAAGAAGTGACGCGACGGCTGTCCTCTTAAGTTCTCGGTAATTCGAAGGAGGACAACAGATTGTGCGTATATGTCCGGGTTCCTCGTTCGATTTGTGCCTTCTCACATCCCCCCACAAGCATTTCTCGCGACAGAAACAGACCGTAGGAATAAAGACCATCCCGGCAATAAAGTCTGTCGTCGCTGAGTCCTCCAATGGAGCGTATCGATCGATAAATGCTTGATGATACTCAAAAATTCTGACATGGCATTGCCACACGTGTCGGTCCTAGACGCTTGGCTTCCCTCCTCTTTGACTCCCCCACCATATCCATCAATTACAAATGAGCAGGCATGGCGTCGGATCGATCGAAGGCCTTGTTGCAGCTGGGGCATTTTCGCATGCGGTTCGCCAGCCGGTTGTCGACACACTCGTTGCAGAATACGTGCCCGCAGCCCTTGAGTATCGTGTTCTTGAAGTTGCTCCTGCATACTGAACAAAGAACCAAGTTCTGCAAAAGTAGCAGTGTTAGTTTACATGTCCAAATTAAAAAAAAGAAAGTCTCCCAAAATCGTAACTTACCCTGAGCACTTCCTCCTCGTCAGTCGAGTTGGACTGGCACTTGGTCTTCCACTTGTCGCGTTCCGAGCTGACTTTGTCGAGGCGCACCTTGAGCTTCTCCGCCTCTTGCTCCTTGTCCATTGCCTTCTCCTTGAGCTCCCTGCCTGCGGTATCCTTGGATTTGACCAGATTTTGCAGGTTTTCAATCTGCGACTTGACAGAGTCCGCCCGCCGAGTGGCCTCGGAACTCAAGGATTCCAGCTTCTTACTTTCCGCCACAATTGTCGTGTTGGACTGCTTCAAATCCGCAATCTGCTTCTCCAAAGTGGTGATGAGTGCTCGGTGCTGTGTCTCGACGTCCTTGAGCTGGGAAATGATCTCGGAGCTCTTGCTGTTCTGTCCGCGCAATGTCCTTATCTCGGCTATCCGAATGTCCATGTCCTTACGCGCGGCAAAGTACTTCTGGTCCGCTTTGCTCTTCTCGGCCGTCAGAATAGCAACCCGCTCCTCCAAAGCAGAGAAATCCATCACCTTCTTGTGTGCAAGGCCCATAGCCTTCCTGTACGACTTTTCGAGTGCTGGAAGTTCCTTGTTGATCGCTTCGTAATCCCTCTCGAGCTTGGCGAACTTCTCACGGAGCTCCTCAACTGAAATACTGCCCAAATCCTCCGTCGAAGTGGCCTTGACGTCTTCCGTCGGTCTTAGCCTCTCAAGCTCGGATTCTAGTTGAGTTATCCGATCCGTCATGGCCTCAACGAGCTCATTCAGGTGAGCAGACGCTGTCTTTTCCTGTTCTTGGCTCGCCTTACGCATTGCGAGTTCCGCAAGAAGTTCATCCCTTGCGGAACGAATTCTAGTAAGATCCTGGTCCTTTTGTTGTATCTGGTCCTCCAGATCCGATGTGAGAGCCTGGGCTTCTTGTTCCAGAGTGGCACGGTACGATGTTCGTTCAGCGCGCAGCTTCTCAGCGTCTTCCCGTAGCTGCTTGTTGACGGCCTCCAGGTTGTTGATGCGCTTGATGAGATCCTCGTTTTGAGCTTTGAACTGCTTGAACACGTCGGTTCGGGCATAATCTTCCTCGGAAATGCCCTCCTTCTTGATCTTGAAAGTGGCATTCTCTTCTTGCAAGGCCTTGATCTCGGCAAGAAGGGACTCGATCTGTTCTTTTTGCTTGTTGCCAACGGCAACAGCTTCCTTGTATTTGGTCTTGTACTCGGCGCCGTCGTTGTTTTCCGTACTTGAACCTGTGCCGTTTTCGTCATTTGTGGTTTGCCGCGTTGTCGAGTTGGCCAGTGCCTGCTGTTCCAATTTTTGGACCTGGGCACTTCTAACCCTATCGAGCTTTCGTTCCGCCTTGATCACCTTAAGAGTTGCGGTATCATATTGTTCGGAGAGCGTCGCGTTTTCGGACTGGAGCCTGTCGATTTTCACTGCTAGTTCCTTCTGGTTTGCCAGTAGAGACTTCACCTGTGCTTCCAGTTGCGCCACATCAGGCTCGACTTCGCCCCGGTAACTGGCGAGTTTGTTCAGTAGCGATTCGACCTTGGAAATGACGGGTTTCCTGATATCATCCAAGTGTTGGCGGAATTCCTTGCTGTCCTTAAAAGCGAGGCTCGATACCCAGTTGGACTCTGCGGGCTTCAGGGTAATGGATTTGAGTGACCCTTCGGCAATCAACTCTAGCTCTTGGGTCAACTGGGGGGTGTCAGCGAGCTTTGTCGTGTGGAGATGGAAGTGGAGTCGAGGCGTACCTGCGATAGCCATTGTTTGATAACCCGCAAATGATCATCGTGAAAAGCCGCGCTTTTCTCGGCTTCTTGTAGACGGTGTTCTAGATCGACCTTTGACCGCTTGTACTCGAGCATCTGCCGGTAGATGGCTCCTTTTTGGTATTCCTGCGCATTGTAACCAGTCAGCCAAGCCGTCGCCTTCAAGCCCGTGAAAGGAGAGTCATGTACATCGTGGGCGGGTTAAGGAGCGTGGTATCTGGGAGTAGGTAGGGTCAAGGCATTGCATGATGAAGAGAGAATCCTGGGATCCGGACGTGCTGTTGCCAGCAACCCGCGCATTAGCAAGGGTCGAGGAGAGTACCCCAACAAAAACATCGCGGTGAGGGTCATAAGGAGGTTGGCCGACACGTAAGATGCCTCTCTAAAGCGGACGCGACTGCGGTGGATGGCAGGCGGCGTCAAGGGACAGACAGGATAGAACACGCTTGATGGCGTGGAGGACACGAGGGGCTAGGGTAAGGTAGGATATGTGATGTTGATATGGGGTGAAGCGATAGCCGACGATGTGTGACACATACCTCAATCCAAGCCTCTTCCCTGGAATCGTTGGAGTCGTCCTTGGACTTGCTGGTGCCGTTGACTTGGTGTCGCTTGCTGGGAGGGGCAACGTCATCCGCGCTGGCGGCGGGTCTCTTCCTGTCCTCCATCTTGACGGTGGTAGGACGAGGCACTGCGGAGGGAGAGGTGGCAACCGGCATGAGAAAAGGCGCTTGAGGGAGCGGACCGGACTACTCAGTTGTCGGTGCGGGCGACGAAGGGCGAGAGCGCGACCGGAGATGGCCAGGAAGCAATCAGCGGGCAGAAGAAAGGAAGTTGGAAGAAAAAGCGCGGTCGGCAATGGAGAGCAAGAAAGTGGTCGAGAGCAGCCAGCCGGACCTGGGTGCGATGAAGGACGGTGGTGATCTTTGTATGGGTGTGTGATCGTTGACCTCTCTTACCGCCACTGCATATACGGTGATGACTCGTTGTCCGTCGCCGATGAGAAGCGTCAACGGAGGCGGAGGGGGCGCGTGTCTGATGGCGGGCGACGACGATGTGTTGGTGTTGTGGGTGAGGTGGGTGGGTTGTGACTTGGACAGACCCAGAGCGCGCAGACTTGGTTGAAAGAGAAAAACGAGGTGGAAGTTTGACGCAGCGGAGCGATTGGAAGTGGCAGACAGTCAAGGCTGCCAAAAGGAGCGTGCGGGTTCCGGCCAGTCTTTCGAAGTGTCGGAGGATGGAAACTGTGGAAAGGACGGAGCAGCACCTGAGGCAAGTCGAAAGAACGTGACTGGAGCAGCCGAGCCGGACGGGGCTCCAGTTCAGATGCCAGCCAGCCTGGAGGCAGATAATTGTTAAGGCTAAGGCGCAAGACAGACAGAACAGACTGCAACCTTTCCATTCTCAACATCCATCCGCCGCTGGACAGGAAAAATGGGTCCTTGAACGGGAGCGCGAAGACTCGCGGCGACCGCCAGAACAGGCTCCACTGTCGGCCTTTGGATCCATGCGTCACGCTAAGCCTCTTTCAGCCTTGGTCTGCGGTGCCTTGATCGCACTTCGATTCCTCCACTGCCACTGGCTGATGGGAATGAGGACCCTCCTTCCGCGAAGCCTGGCCGCTGTCTGAACCGATCCAGTGCACCACCACCGGGACTGGATCCTGACCATCCACCCCGCCCATCTTTTTTCCCATCACCACTTTATCGCTTTTTGGTGTCAATCACCAAGTCAACAATCAACCAACTCCGCGTCTTTCAATTTCTTGTGTAGCAATTGACTCCCTCGACCGCGCGCTGTTCTCGATCTCCAATCCTCGCGATTATCCGGATACGCACCCATTCGATACCCCGTCAAAACGAAGTCACCATCAGTTGAGCCTCAGATTACCCTGGTCTTTGCTTATCGGCGGCAGCCTTGTGTAGGCAATGTTCACCAAAACATCGAGGTCCCATATTCTCTAATTCAAAGCTATCGGTCGGTTTCCGCTAGTCGGCGACTCCCATCAAGATGCTTAAGAAAGCGGGCTTCGGCCCCAAAGTCAAACCCAAGGTGGTTGCTCGTCGCAACGCGCCAGCTTCCGCAAAGTCAACAGACTCAACTCCCGCTCCTACCGAGACAGCGTCACAGCCTACCACAGCTGCCCCGACTCCCACCGCCGAGTCCGGTCCTTCGACCCGCCAGGTCTCGCCGGCTTCAGCTTCAGCCCAGCCAACCCCTCCTGCAACTGGCCCAACCGATACAGCTCCCGAGAAGGCGGCTTCGAGCGTTGCCAAACCAGTCACAAAAGATGCCGCTCCAGCGAACAAGCAAGCACAAGCTGCAGCTGCCTCGGCCCCAGCTCCGGCCGCGGCACCGGCGCCCACTCCAGCCCCTACCGCAACGGCGAGTACACCGGTGGAGAAGCCAGCAGAAAAGCCAGTGGAGAAGCCAGTCGAGAAACCAGTAGAGAAACCAGTAGAGAAGCCAGCGGAGAAATCAACAGAGAAGCCGACAGAGAAGCCAACAAGCAAAAAGAGCTCGAATGCCACGGCCGAGACTCCCAAAGCAGCGACTCCGAAACAAACACCTTCCAGAACCAGGGGAACGCCAGCGACGGCTATCACCCCGACTATCATCGAAATCACCAGGGGGCCTAGAGCCAGAAGATCTGCGGCGACATCCGGTACATCGGAGCCCATAGCACAATCTCCGTCCAAGGCTACACGTCCGACACCCGCAGCCGATACCTCTAGCGTCACGTCCTCGACAAGCCCAAGTGGAACGACCTCCACAGAAGGTGCTTCGACACGGTCTAGCACAGAGTCTACACAAGCGACGGTTTCAACATCTTCAGTCACCCAGACTGCAGCTGCAGCTGCCGAGAGCACTACTGAGAGCCGAGCCGAGTCGAGTGCCGAGGCAACGGCCGAACCAACAACCAAACCCACCAAGAAGGCTCCCGCAAAGAAGCCAACCCCGAAGGCGCCCGCAAAACCACGGGCTCCTCGAAAGCGCAAGGCGGATACAGCAACTGTTGAAGAGGAAGCGAACAACGATGAAGCCGAAGCCGAGAATGAAGCGGCAGCGCCACCCCCCACCAAGCGAGCACGGACAAGGAAAGCAGCGGCCAAGCCGAGCGCCGACGGAGAAGAAGCGGCTGAAACCGAAGGAGAAGCGGCGGCGGCAGCACCAGCTCCCAAGAAGCGAGCTCCTCGAAAACGCAAGGCGAATGCAGCAACTGTTGAAGGCGAAGCGGAGGATAATGAAGCCGAAGGTGCAGCTGCAGCAGCACCTCCCAAGAAGCGCGCACGGACAAGGAAAGCTGCTGCTGCTGCTGCTGAGCCGAGCGTTGAGGGAGAAGACGGCCAGGAAGCGGCGTCCAAGCCGAAGCGGATGCGGAAGCCGAGAAAGAAGCCGACGACAGAGTCGAACATCGATCCAGCTCTCCTGAGCGATAACGAGGAGGAGCAAAATGAAGCCCAGGCAGCCGCCAAGAAGGGCGGTAGACAACAGCGCGAAGCCACCCCCGAAAATGCCGAGCAAGTCCTGCCGAGCAAGTCCAGATCGACGTCACCCAGCTAACCATGGCCGAGCTGGCCAAGGACCTGCACATCGGCAAAAAATTCAGTCTCCACGACGAGCTCGCCGAGCGCGAGCGCGCCAAGCGGCAGAAATACTACGAAAAGCGCAAGAAGCTAAAGCGCGGCGAGACAGGCGACGGTGACGAAAATGCCGAAGACGGCGGCGGTGCCAGCGGCGAAGCATCCGCCTCCGGCACGCCCGCTCCCGGCGCCTCTGCCTCTGCGACCAACGGCCCTGGTGTCTCCTCCCGGCCCGCCATCGACGAGCCGCCCCTCGTTGACTCGGCCGTCGGCGCCGTCGGCGAGCAATACATCATGATCGACGGCGAAATCCGACTTAACGAGCGCTCTCTCCAAGTCAACCGGCACGCAACCATCGACCACGCCAACTACGAGGTGCAAGAAGAAAACGACTTCACGCATCTCACCACTTCAGCCACCTACCTCCGCCGCAACATGAAACCGGGCCAGTGGACCGAGGAGGAGACCGACAAGTTCTATTCCGCACTAACCATGTTCGGCACGGACTTTGAGACCATCGCCCGCCTGTTCAAGGACAAGACACGCAAGCACATCAAACTCAAGTTTAACCGCGAGGAAAGGAGCGACCCGGACAGGATCCAAAAGGCGCTTGTGGGCGAACGCACGGTAACGATCGATATTGATGCGTACCAGCGCGAGACGGGGCAGGAGTTTGAGACAGCCGAGAAGATTTATGAGGAGCAGAGGAAAGCCGAGGAGGAGTTTGAGGCGCGGCAGAAGGCGATTGAGGATGCCAAGGCCGAGGAGGAGAGGAAGAAGGCTGAACTGCTGTTCGGCAAGGATGGACAACAGGGCAAGAAGAGGGGGAGAGGAAAGAAGGCGAGGCCGGAGCCGTCGGCTTGGTGATTCATCGTTTAGGCAACAGAACAGGGGCTCTAAAAAGTGTCTTACGGTGTCAGGCAGTCAAAAGCTGTCTGTCGAACGGATTTCATTGCTTTCAACAAACTGGCATAGCTACCATAAATATGGCTGGACAGGCAGAGAAACAAATCAGCGTATAGGTATGGCGAGGGAAACAAAGAGGGCTTATTCGTCTCATAGGAATCAGGTTTTATATACCCATCAAGCGGAGGGGAACATATACTACAGAACGTACGCAGCCTTTTGACATATCATGGAACATTACCTGAAGTGATCTCAATATCATCAATGTCTTTGTTCTTGCTACTTCGTTACTAAACTCCTCAAAACTCTTCGCGCGTGGGAATACTCGACATCGCTGTACACCCATGTAATGACTGTGATCTTTGACCAGCACTATTGAGCATTTGAGCTCCCTAAGGTATAATGTTATCATAAAGTCTCCTCCAATGCATCCTTCTTAAGCAAGCCCAAACCATCCAGCCGTCGCCCATGTTTCAAATGCAAAGGCAGCTGCTAACGAAAATCCTCCCCTGTCAATTGACTTTTAACGCCTGATTACAAGAAACCCAACACATCATCCCAGCCTACAACCTCACCCCTATTGTTGGGGCATATCGTCATCCTCCTCCGGTCCCTGATCGAAAAGGAAGTTGGCGGCAAGCTCTTCGTCCTTGTCGCAGGCAAAGTAGGCCTGGATGGCCTGGTCCTGGGGGAAGCCGAGGCGAGTGAGACGCTCAATAGCATCGCGCTCCTCCTCCGTGACGGCAATGCCGACAGAGCCACCCTCACCACCCTCGCCGAGTAGGTTGAGGAACTGATCGGAGTTTTGGGCGATCATCTGAGCGAGCTGGGGGTTGCCAGCACCGAGTTGCTGCAAGATGGGCTCCAACATCTGGGGCTGCTCCTGCACAAGCTGGCGCATTTGCTGAAACTGGGCGTTGTTCCGGAGGAAGTCGAGGTTGCCAAGACCAGCGGCCTCAGCACCAGCACCCTCAGCACCACGAGCACCACGTCCACCAGCGCTGTTGCCAAGTTGGGCAGCGAGGTCGAAAAGGTTGACTGGACCCTCGTCGTCACCACCGGCGGCAGCAGCGGGAGAAGCGGCCTGAGCGGCAGGGGCAGCAGCAGGGGCAGCAGCAGGGGCAGCAGCAGGAGCGGCAGCCGGAGCGGCAGAAGGCTGACGAGAGGAGGCAGCCTGTTGTTGAAGGTTGGCGGGAATACCCTAAGAACTGTGTCAGTATACGCATTGCAAAATGGAAAGTGGTCCGGCGTGTGAAACGTACATTTAGGAGGTACTCGACCGCGCGCTCAGGGTTGTTATACGCAGCACGCATAGCAGCGTCAATCTGCGAACGCTCGAAGCCCATGGCCTCCATGTTGGCAATGGCCTCAGCTCGCTGCTCGCCCATCGCAAGA